TGCAAAATTTTGGGTATAACTAGCATTTACCTAAAATCTAACCTAACCATAAATTAGTGCTAACTCTTACCCTAAATCAATGCGTTATTAGATTGTTTTGATTTCACATTACACCAGATCTTATAGGTGCGCAAGAACGCATCCGTGCAAAATAATATAATTCTATAATATATATATATAAAAAAAAAACTATATTATCTAATTCCATTCATTAATATAGTCGATTTCTTTTAGGTTATAATAATTATCATCATTACTAAAAAAACTGATCTTTGCTTTTACTAGCATAATTATCAACGTCTTCATTAGTATAATTATATTCGTCTTTATTAACATAATTGTCTTTATTTTTACTATTACGGTTATATTCATCTCCATCAATCTGATTATCTTCATTACTAATTAAATTGATTTCTTTTACCAAATTCAGATTAAGTTATTAATTTTAAGGTTACTTGTAGTATTGAATATTAACTAATATTTAATATTTTACCTGTATTGGTATTTAAACCTTCGTTTGTATCAGCATTCAAATTTTCATTCATATTACTATTAGAACTTTCTTTTATGTTAATACTAGAGTTTTTATTAATGTTATGCGATTCTTCATATATATATATATGATTATGTAAATTTGTTTGTGGACCAAGTTGGTCATAATCAAAATTAAATGGTCTTCTTTGCTATTCTGTGAGTTGAAAATTCCACAATATTTAAAAATTTATGAATAAGAGTAGGATCTATGTTATTCTATGTATCAAGTACCTATTGAGCAATTAAATTGTATGCAAGACATCAAATATGACCTTTTTTGGTAAAGGTATGAACTTCACTTGCTATCCATTCATTATAGTAATTCTGTATCTATATATAAAAAAATAATTTTATTAGCTATTTATCTATCCTTTAAACTATTAATTTAATTTTAAATATATTTAATATAGACTATAATTTAATATAATTTTGTAATTTAATTATAAAATTTGTAAACAAATTTGTTCTAAAAACTGTTTAATAGATAATAAATTTATACTTTACCTTCGACTTAAATAACTTATTAATAGCCACATCTAACGGTTGAACTTTTGAGGTTAATCTAGATAGAATTATAGCTAAATTAGTATTTTTTTCAATGAAGCGATATTTGATTATGTCTGTAACATGTGCAGAGAACAAGTCTATAACCAGATATGAATGTGGGTCTATTGATATTCTTAACCACAAATTCTATATATTTTCTATTCACCAGAGTATCTCATCTTCATTCATCCAACTTTTAGAATTTGTATGAATCAAAACTCCAGCAAAAAATACTTGCCATAGAATATTAACTAACTTAAAAATGATAACTGGAAGCAGCTTAGTTCCGTCTTCTAAACAAGTCAGTACAATAGTAAAATATGATTTCTTATGTCCACAAGTCCAAATTGAAACTATATTTGTGCCACAATTATCAATAGTGGTATTATTAGAAAGATCAAATGATAATGGGATTTCATCTATGTTAACCATTAAAGTAAGAAAATAATTAAATTGAATTCAATAATACAACACTAAATTTAAAAATTCTTGCTGTCATGCTTGTAAATCTTCTGAAAGTTGTTGAGCTACAGTAGTTTGATGCCGATTACTCAATTTATAATGAACTATAAAACCATCTACTCATTTATTATTAAATTTGCTTTCAGTAATACCAGGATAAGCGGTGTAAAGTGATTTTTTAGATAATGCTTTTGCTTTAATTTGGATCATAGTATGGGTTACAGATTTTTGCTTGTAACGTAATTCTTGCATCCACTTATAAATTTCATTTTTTAATTCAGGATACTTTGATAACTTTCCTTTATTCATTCGCTTAATATGAGGTGAAACATTTATTAATTCATTTTTTTTGCTATGCCAATCTCTTACTTGCTTTGGTTCAATATTAAATTTGGTAGCTGTTGTTATAACACTCGATTTGGTTGCTTTTCAAGATATGTAATAATGGCAAGTTTCTTGTGTACATTCTATTGTCATCTTGTTTTATTAATTACTCGCTATTTTTATTTTCATGTATATATACCATTGTTACTGAAGAAAAAAAGAGTTTAGATTTTTTTTTTGTAGTTACATATTTATATATTTAATTCTTTTATACTTATATACTTTCGCTATAATTTTTTATTTCTATAAAAATAAGTTTTACATATATATTTAGAGATGTAAAAAGTCTGGTTCGGTCTTGAAACTTTAATTTATATGCATATATATTTAATATATTTAAAAATAGTATTTATATTTTCTAAGTCTAATTTAGAACAGAAATTTAATTTTTGGAGTCGAGTTCAGACTGAACCAAACTTTTGCATCTCTATATATTATAGCTATATAAAAGACTTTTCTATAATAGTACTCTCCTTACAAAGTATCCTCTTGTTTATATACTTTTCTTTGTAATTAGTACCCAGGTGGGTACTATTCAAGAAATTCGTTGATTGATAGAATAGTACCTGGAGTACTGTAGTCAGTGCTATACGGTATATCAAGAAAAGAAGAAAAAAACATATTTTAGACTGAATAAAAATTTTGCAATTTTGATATAATTTGAAAATATAACTGTTAAAAAAATTTAATGGTTTTAAAGTAATAATTATACAGTCAACTCTCTTTAAACTGAACCTTTTTAAACTGAATACTTAATAAATTCTCTGAGAACTAAACAAAAAGCTCTAGAACATTTGTAAATTTTATTATAAAGTTTAGATTAGCAATATATAACTCTTTGAGAACTGAATTTTTAAAAATTTTTACATATAAAATTCCTTAAGTACATTTTTTTGCAGAATAAACAGAGTTGACTGTATATAAAATTATATTCTAAACAACTTCAGTCTAGGTGGCCAAAAGGTTATCTTAGTAAAAAAAAAATTTTTTATATACTAATATCAAAATTTCTAGTTTTTCTATATAAAACTTTTTTTTCTACTAAGATAATCTTACCTTTTTGGTTATCTAGACTAAAGTTGTTTAGAATCTAATTTTATACATAGTTATTACTTTAAAACTGTTAAATTTTTTTTTTAACAGAGTTATATTTTCAAATTGTATCAAAATTGCAAAATTTTTATTCAGTCTAAAATATATTTTTTTCTCTTTTTTTTAATATATTTATTTATAAAATTTAATTTAAAGTTAATATGTAAATGAAGAAATATTATTGCAACAAAGTTTATATATAATTCTATATATTTTTGCTATAGGTTTATATATACAAAAATTTATATCATAATATATTGTATGATTTTTTTTTTTTTTTTTTTTACATATTGGCAGTCTTGCTGGTATCTTTATTAGATCAAAGCTAATGTACAGAAATATTAAGAAACTATCTAAATTACAGATCTAACATCACTCAGCATTTTCTATAGGTATTCAAGTATAGTCTGCCTCATCGGTTAAGACTATTGCCTATACTAGTGGGCTGCACCAAGCTAGCTGGTGAAACCATAACAAGATGGTTTTGATTTAGAGAGATTTTTAACTAAACTAAATTGGCAATTTTTCTCTTCTAAACTATCCTCCTCTTTATAACAAACTGAAACTAATTTTCTATTAATAAATGATTCTATTCACTTTTTCAAAAAAGAGTTATTGCCAGAAACCTTTCATTTATAATTATATATTTTTTTTCTTCTTCTAATTAAATCTGTCTTTTTTGAACAGATCTTCAGCTCTCAAAACCTTATATTTTGTAGCTTTGTGGTCTTTTTCTTCTGCTTCTTGAAAGCTTTCTTCAAAGATCTTTTCTGAAGATATTTTTCTATAGATCTTCTTTTCTTCAAAAAACTTTGGGCCTTCTTTTGGTCTTTTTGTTTCAAATTTATAGATAGTTCTCTCTAATTCTTTCTCTTCTATGTTTAGAGTATAGAGATCTTCTTTTTTTCTTTTCTTTGTCTTCTTCTTTTCTTTTTTCTTTCTAAGCTTTGGTCTTCTTCCCAAAAACTTCTTTTAAATTTTCATAAATATTCTTTGATTCTTGAAAACTTTTATAAAAACCTTCTCTAATATTTCTAATAAGATTTTCTTTTTCTTTTTTTTTTAGTTTTTGAACCCTTTCTGTTTGTATACCATTGTATCTTGAATCAAGTTTATATCAATGTTTCTTTAGTTCTTTAGATATCATACCCACTTTGCAAGCAGATCTTTCTTTTTAATCTTCTATGCTCTATTATTGAATTGTGGGTCTTTAATACTTATTTGATATATAACTTTGATTAGCTATTCTGTTAAATTTGTTGTTTCAATTATAGGCTTTGACTCTTCTTGAATCTTGTCTAGAGCTTTTGATTCAATAATACTTTTGATATCTTGTCTTTTAGTTTTCTTTTCCTTTTTCTCTCTAGCCTTCCTTTCTTTCCTTTTTCAGTTTGCCACTTCAAATTCAACTAATATTTTAAAATTTACAACTAAAGCTCTTAGTGCTATTTTATTGTTTTGTTTTTGTTAAATGTTTCTTTGTTTTTGAAGGCTCTTGCTCTAGTCTAATTTTAGCTTCAACCTTAATTTAGCTATTTGTTTTTTTTTTTGCAAGAGTTGTATCTTTGTTTGCAGAATTTACAGAGTTGGCATTTCTCTTTCTCTTGCTTTTTTAATTTTTTTTTTGTTTCATACTAGGCTGCTGCAGTAAACTTAACAGATTTTTTAAATTGTTATACTAATATCTTTAAGGCTATCTTGTTATGCTGCTTTTGTTGAGCTTCTTTTTGTTCTTGAAATCTCTTGCTTCATCTTGATTCTAGTTTTGACTTTATTTCTGCAGCTTGCTTTTTTTCTTTTTAAACTTGCATCTTCAATTTCTTTTCTTTAGTTTTTTTCTTTTTTTCATGTTAATATATTGTGGTAGAATTGATAGATTCTTTAAATTGTTGAGATAAATTCTTTAAAGCTGTCTTGTTATACTGCTTCTGTCTACTCTTTCTTTGCTCTTAGAGTCTTTTGCACTAATTTGTTTCTAATTTTGACTTTATTTTAGTAGTTTGCTTTGCTCTATTATTTAGAAACCATCTTACTCTATAAGCTATTTCTATATCCCATTTGATATCACTTATTCTTATTTCTTCACATATAATATATTCAACTAAATCTAATCTCTTTTCTATTGCTGTGTGGTAATAATAGTAATTTCTTTTCTTGAGTGCAAGTGCTGTATACTGTATTTTTCCTTTTCTATATTGCTATAACTCTTTGTACAACCTTTTTATCTGTGTTTCAGCTTCTTCTTTATTTATAAGTTTAAATTTTTCTTTTTCATATTTTGCTATTGTATATTCAATTAATTCAAGCATCTTCTCATTAAAAATTGTTGCTTGTATCCTAGCTTTTTCTTGTTTATTGAGTTTTTTTCTATATGACTTGTTGTATTTCTATTGTTTTGTTGTGATTGTTGTTGTTGTTTACTATCTTTGTTTATCTTCGTCATGTAGTTTTTGGCGTATTTTCTTTGTTTATTCTTCATTATATGTTGTAATTCTTGTATTATCAAAACAGATCTGCAATTTAGGAT